CCTCTGCTGCTTTCCAGGTTCTAGGCAAAACTGTTTACCAAGAACTCTCACTCTGCAACTTCATATTTTCTTGGCTAGAGGTGGCCTGAGCCTACATTTTTGAGGTTTCCCTAGTCAGTTCCCACTTTTGAAGGCAATCTAAGTACTAACCGCTCAGCTTGCTCTTTGTCTCTGAGCACCGTTTTGCAAACTTTGACATGGCCGCATCTTTACGCAGTTCACAGACTCATTCTAAACAGCTATTTTTGCAATATAATGCATGGTGGTCTTTACTGATTCCTGAACATCCAGAATGCGTCTACTTTCTGCAGGTTTTACATTCGATTCTCTTAACCATCTTCTTTCCCCAACTATCCTTCAAACATGGGTAGGATTTTCGCATCAATACAAGGTGTTCACGTATTTGAGAACAGGTGATAAAAACGGAAACCAGCAATAACGGCAAAAGGTAGACAAAACTGATACGTAAAGACCTTACACTAAACGAAGCTAAACAATCGAATCGGCTCTGCACGGAGCTTTTTTCCGCTCTTTGAAAAAACACTGACAAATAATTTAGATTGAAAACTCGAAACGCAAAGAAGTGTAAAACGAGGTAAAGTGGCATTTAATGGTAATTTAACCTTGCTTTTATGATCGAAACACGAAGCAAAGCAGATCACGTCAAAATTTCAAACAAGCGCCGACATACCGCAAGGCCAGAGATCATGTCTTGTCAGGTTGCACAGAACTAAATAAGGCCACGGCCAATCGAACGTCCAAAATTCTTTCGATGCTGTGCTCATTACGTGGATATCTCGCTCGGCTGAAATAAGAATGATAAAAAGGATCTCATATCAGGTCAGGTCAGGCCGGGTACACAAAACTTGTGGCTGTTTTCAATGCATTCAGTTCTTTGCACTTGTGAGTTCTGATGCGATCTCACTGTGCTTCGACTGCAAGGAATTTCTTGGCTCTTCTTTTTGGGTTTTTGGATGACTGTCAGAGTGAAATGCAAACCAGATGCTGTAGTATTCAGTTGGTAGTATCAGTAGGCTCCAGTTAACTAAGGGTCGTCATCTGCACAGGTTTCTATGCGAGAACTTTAAGCCAGGCACGTTCTATCGGCGCGTAATCAAAAGGTTTAAATGACAATTTGGAGAACACAATCGTTGTACTTCCGTAATGATAGAAATTGGGTTATTTGTTATAAACGAAAAGGATGAGAGGAAAAAGGAAAACGAACAAGATATAAGAATACCTATCACATGAGGCTCACAGGTTGGCCTATGGTTTACTTTGCACTGGTCACTCAAGATTAGAGAATAAAGTCAACTAGCAGTCATCCAGTTTGTGCTTGAAGCTTATCAAAGTTTTCGCTGTGATCAAAGCTTCTAGGAGTTTGTTCCAGTTGTACATCACACGGTTTGTTAGAAACTGTGCTCGAACTTGCAGCTTTGAACGCTCTTTTGCCAATTTCAAAGATCGCCTTCGCAACGCTACGTTGTCACTGATAGTGAACTGTGAAGCACCCGTGTCAGTTATGCCTTTTATACTCTTAAAGGCTTCTATTAGATCACCCTTAAGGCGTCTCCTTCTCATGGAGTACAGATTTAGTATAGATAGACGAGTTGGGTAGTCTTGCCCCCTAAGGTGATGGCGGCACCTTGTGAACCTGCGTTGAACCGCCTCTAGGACCTTCCTGTCCCACTCCGGGTAAGATTATCACGATTGGGTGCAGTATTATTATTATTACGCTTTATACGCTTTATGAAATCTCTGAATTTCGCGGGACAACAATTTTCAGCAGTTGATACAGTGCATTATTCGCATTACGTGCCGCCAGTAAGTACTACTTTTCTACCTTGAAATTACTTGTGACGTGATTTCCCAAGTCCCTTCTTTTGGTACCTCTTGGAAGTTACGCTGGCTTTTCCTCGTTGATCCAGCTTACTGGTCCTGTGCTTCCAGTTTCCATTAACTGTCTACACTTAGCCACGTTGAGCGTTAACTTCTGCGGTACGTACTTCGTGAGCGGTTTAAATTTTTAAAGTGTTCCTAGCTGTAATCCGTTTTTAAGTTCTGAGTAGAATATCTAACGATATACCGCATCAGTGTCATTATCTTGGTTTCAACTGAGGTGATTTTTGAACGTTGTGACCATTCAAAAGTTCACTCCACAGTCTTTTTGGTCTGGTTTAGGACAGAAGTTCATTTGCTTTTTGCACGGTTTTACTGCTTACTGCCCACGACACTTTTTGGGTTCTACTTTTATCTTTTATTATATCAAAGAGACCTTTTGTTTTAAATTTGCAATTTGTATGGTCGTGTCTGGCTTAACAGTTGCATATCAGTATATTAAATACATTTACCATGCTCCCGAGGATATACATCGATATTTTTGTTATCTCTGATACCATCAAGGATGTGCGAAGTTATCCAAGAAGGCAGATTATCTGTATACGGAACACAAATCCCTGAAGTGGATTTGTGATCACTGTATAGCACTTGCCGAAGAATACTTGCACATTTTCCAAGGCAATATAAGACCGTTAGATGCGAAGCCTTTTCAGCCTATGTTGTCTGCTATCCATCCAGAGAAAAGCCGAAAATTACCTGAACCAAGTAAAGATAAAAGGATAAAGAAACTGTGATATAAAAAGCTGAAAACAAAAACGGAAAAGATGACGGAGCTGAAAAATTTAGGCCTAATGTTGGATCGCCTAGGATAGAAGCTGGCTCTCATGATGTAAGCCCATTCTAGGTTGGACACAGAACATCCTGCTCCACTACTGCGCTGGGCCCACGATCAGATATGGCAGGTCTCGTTGTGAGATAAACCGCAGGTATGTGCAGGATGTTCTTCGCCTGGTGGAAATGCCCCCGCAACGAGCAATGCATTCTCAAGGGGATGAGACTGTGGAAGAGAGAAAAGGCACTCCACCCACGTCCCCTACTGGTAACCTTCGGTAGCATGCATGCTAGGGTACGCTACTGTCCAGGGCCGTAGTCACTAGGGGTGCTATAGCAATTACCTCGGGCAATGATACACTGGTTTGCAGGCCCCCTTTTACGACTGTAACAACAGAAACTGGGATTGAGAATTGAGGTGCTTCTTAAAGTCAAGGTAACAGCCGGAAAACAGGAGCCTATGAGTAGCGTCTTGAGCACAGTTTGGCATGTAAGCAAGCTGCAAGCATCACTCTTGAATAAATGGACGCCAAAGTCAAGTAGAGTCATACATCGCACGGGACCTCACATCAAAACCGTACCCAAAGCCATGGGAACTCAGTTAGTTTCCAAACTTATCGTTACGGCCCCAGATTCCGAGAATGTGAAGCGGAACCGTACGAGAGGAGGCAAAGAGGTAACTGCTGCTGCAAGGGAAGGACATCTTGCCCACAGTATAGGACCACTAGAAACACTGGGTCTCGTAGCTGGGCCACGGCTGTGACCGATACACCATCTGTGGTAGATGAAAGCTAGCAGATCTGAAAACCCTCGTAAGTCCAGTGTCAGGCCTGAGATTTACTAATATAGGTAAAGCCAAATGTGGACTGTCATGGGTAGCCGAGGACATGCCCACCGTCAACGTTATAACGAAAATCGGGGTGGTTCCTCGGGTATTACACTCAAGGACTCTGATGCTATAGATAGACTATTCCCGCCAGCTCTAAAGAGCAGAAATTATCACAGTGTGGTGCACGAATGCTTTATGATTACTATTATTATTTTCAAGTGAGGAGAATTAACAGCCCGTTACCGGGGATCAGACGAAG